TTATGTTATGTTATGTTATGTTATGTTATGTTATGTTATTTATATTTTATTATTTTTAAGTTGTTTTTAATAATTTTTTTACATTTTATTTTATTTTTGAGAGACAGAGAGAGACAGAGCACAAGCAGGGGAGGGGCAGAGAGAGACAAAGACAAAATTTGAAGCAGGCTCCAGGCTCTGAGCTGTCAGCACAGAGCCTGATGCGGGGCTCGAACCCACAAACCATGAGATCATGATCTGAGCTGAAGTTGGAGGCTTAACTGACTGAGCCACTCAGGCATCCTATTTATTTATTTTTAAATGTTTATTTTTGAGAAAGAGAGAAAGCAGGCACGTGCGTGCGTGAGTGGGGGAGGGGCAGAGAGACAGTGGGACAGAGGATCCCAAGCAGGCTCTGTGCTGAGAGCAGAGAGCCAAATGCAGAGCTCGAACTCATGAACTGTGAAATCATGAACTGAGCCCAAGTCGGACGCTTAACCCACTCAGCCACCCAGGTACCCCTCAGGGGACAGATTTTAAAAGCATGAGTAGTTCATATTGATATTTCCAATTCTAAAATAACTTTACAGGGTTTTACTTAATTTCCTTAATTTTATATTCATTTCACCTTGCACTGAAAATCTTGATTCCTGACAATATTAGCACAATTACTTGCTTTAGATGACCACTTATATTAAAATGTTTCAAAATAATATCAATGTTACTACTCATAATAATACTTCTGAATGAAGTTTAACATTTCCTTGAAGTTCCTTTTGATCTTAGAATGTATTTCACTGAGAATACTGTGTTCTGGGGTGCCTGGGTGGCTCAGTTGGTTAAGCATCTGACTCCTGATATCGGCTCAGGTCATGGTCTCATGTGTGAAATGTAACCAATTTTGTTTCAATTTTTTAAATTGAAATTTAAATTTCTTTTCCCTATTTGGTTTAGTTTTATTTTTTGAACATGTAAAACATTTACGTGTTGACAGATCAAAACTGCATAGATTTAGGTATGTTTCTTTGTCATTCAAGCAGGGTTTAGATAATTTCAAGGAAGATTAGTGGGTCACTTGACCAAAAACCTTGTTTATTTGCAGAGAAAGCGTAAGCTGTTTGGGAAGATACCCAAAAACTTGAGGTGATGTCATGAGAAAGAGCCATATTCTCTGACATTAACACTTCTTAGAAAAGGTATTTAGCAGAATGAGTCTGATCCAAAATGGTATTTATTATATTCTTACACATTTGACTTATAACTTAGTAAATTCATAGAGAACACTATTCTCTCTGTTCTGTGATAAAGGCCAGTCAGTGTTCCTTCTAAGAGTATACCTCAGACAGGAAGATGCAACAAAAAATGAGGCCTGGGGACAGAGTGTCCAAAGTTGAAGGCCATTTAGGTGACTTCTGTTTCTGTCACCTCCAGAATGATCTTTAGGAAGGGGCCCTCGATAAGAGTGCAAGACTCTGCTTCTCTGTGGACTAGTTAGGATTTTTTGTCTTGTGGACCACATTGAGAGACTCAGGCGCCTAATGGGCTTGCTAGGATTTAAGGCCAAAGTGTTTATCGAAAGGGTGGTAGAGGGGCACCTGGGTGGCTCAGTTGGTTCAGCGTCTGACTTCGGCTCAGGTCATAATCTCATGGTTTGTGGGTTCAAGCCCCACATCGGGCTCTGCGCTGACAGCTCAGAGCCTGGAGCCTGCTTCTGATTCTGTGTCTCCCTCTCTCTCTGCCCCTCCCCTGCTAACGCTCTGTCTCTCTCAAAAATAAATAATAAACATTAAAAAGAATCTTAAAGGGTGGTAGAATATTTTCTTTTCCCACAGTGAAGGGGAACACTAGGGAGAAGAGGAGTCGGATATTGCTAGGCCACCACCCCCAAGGTTCAGATTCTCTCCGGTTGTCATGTCTTGAACAAGGGAAACAGCAATTAAGTGATGATGTGAGACAACAAAGCTAATGACAAACTAAAGAGAGATTGAGGCTGCCCTTCTTGTGGCCCTGCAGCCAGTTGCTTAGGGTGGGGGAAAAACTTTAGACACTGAACAGATTATTTATGTGTAAGGCTGGGTTTCAGCTCCACGACTCCCAATTGAGAAAGCCTTCTGGTGGTGTCTGATGCCATATCTCTGCATTTCCCAGTAATTCCAGTAGTGTGCCTGCACTTCAGTGATGTTCATTTGTCCTTCTGGACCACTGGCACATTTGTTAGACATGGACACTTTCTAGTTCTATCCACACCATATCACGATAATTGTATCATAAGATGGGTAAAGAGAATGGAGAATGTGCAGTTATGTTTTCCTGCTTGATGTCTTTGTAATAATTGGAAGTGTTTGTGTGAGAAAAGGCATGCAGAAATAAGGATTCTTTCTTTGCAATGAACAGAGCAGGGGAAAGGAAATAGCTGAAAGAAACGGCCAGCTGGAAAAGACAAGGGGTTTTTCTTTGCAAAGTAGCAAAGCTTGCCACCTACATGTATACATATAAGAAGTGATGCATGATGTTATGCTGTTGTGGTTTGGGGACCATGAATTCACAAAGTTCTATTCCTACTTGAAAGGCTGGAGTGAGTGCAGTGAGATCTGCTTCCAGTGAAGGCAGCATGAGCAAGAACATCCCCAGGGCCATGTCACCTCACAAGGATGTTTCCTTTAGGAAGTGTAGGATGACAGACAACTAAAACCATGGGCCAGGGTGTCTCCAAGGGAGGAGGAGCCATGGGCTGTAAGAGGATGGGGGAGATGAGAGAAGGTATGAAAAATGAGTCATGGGCTTTCCCCACTGAAACTGTGAGGTAGTAAATGTGTGTTGTTTTAAACTGCTAAATTTGGGGTAGTTTGTTTTTTAGCAGTAGAACATTGAAACGATGTGTTTCATGTCTGTCCCTTCCTTTAGAGTCCAAGGTCTGGGACCAGTCTGTCTCGTACCATGGAACCATTAACATCTGACACAACACCTGGCTCATGGTTTATGTTCAATGAACACATGATTGACAAATGAGTGAAAAAGAGGGAGATCAGGAGCCAGAGTTTGAACCCTTCCTTGTATCCTTACTTCTAATTATCACACTTTAAAGAAGTGGACTGGTATTCTTATGAGAAAGGGATCATAATTCCTATATAATCATTGGGAGAAATGAAACATAAGGAATTTGGGCATCTTGCTCTACCCAGGTGGACAGTGAAGAATTTATAATGCTTTGCCTGGGACTGAGAGAGCAAGAAAGAGGAAAACTGAACTGAAGAAATCTTGATCCTTCGCTGTCTTCCCAAGCTTACATGCAAAGATGAGTCTGCAGGCCATGACACGTGGGCGGAGAGAAGCATGCAGTGGTTTTATAATAAGATTGTACAGGGGCACGTGAGTGGCTCAGTTGGTCAAGTGTCTGACTCTTGTTTTCAGCTCAGGTCATGATCCCACAGTTTTGTGGGTTCGAGCCCCGCATTGGGCTCCTTGCTGGCAGCATGGAGCCTGTTTGGGATTCTCTGTCTCCCTCTCTCTCTGCACCTCCCCACTCACACTGTCTCTGTCTCTCTCAAAATAAATAAATAAACTTAAAAGAAAAAAAAGATTGTACAACAATTTCCAGAACTGAAGTTATATATGTGCTTGTTTTTCAGCACCCTGAAGCAGGCCCTTGAAGTCTTCAAGAAGCGTAAGTGATTCTTTAAACTATATTTGCTGCCCTTGGACGGTTCTGGGGGTTTTACTTTGAACAGCCATCTCGTATTGGGTAAAAAAAAAAAAGTTAGAGCAGCTCCCAAGGTGAGAAGTAGCTCTGCAGAGCTGAAATGAGCTGGAGAGCCCACCTTCCATGTGGAAGTCATGACGTGCATTTGACTTACTTTGAGCAGGGGTTCTCACACTTGAAATCCAGGGCAAGGCCCTCGCAATTTGGTCTTCAAGGGGTCCTGTTTGGGTCTTTTTGAAAAAAAATTTTTTATTAAAAGTTTTTTTTATTAGTTTATTTTATTTTTTGACACAGAGAGAGAGACAGAGAGAAGGAAAGAGAGAGAGAGAGAGAGAGAGAGAGAGAGAGAGAGAGAGAGAAGGGAAGGGGCAGAGAGAGAGAGGGAGAGAGAAGGGAAGGGGCAGAGAGAGAGAGGGAGAGAGAGAATCCCAAGCAGGCTCCACGCTGTCAGTGCAGAGCCCAGTGCGGGGCTTGAACTCATGAACTGTGAGGTCATGACCTGAGCCGAAATCAAGAATTGGACACTTAACTGATTGAGCCACCCAGGCTCCCCTTTTTAAAGTAATTCGTACACCCACCATGGAGTTCAGACTCACGGCTCTGAGATCAAGGGTTGTAGGCTCTACCGACTGAGCCAGCTAGGCGCCCTCCTGTTCAGTTCTAAGAGTCCCCAGTCCTGTTACTCAGAAACTGCCTTTAAGGCTTTCTGTTCTTCACAATACTTGCTGCTTTCGAGCTAAGGATTTTAACATGGCGTTGTATGTATGTGCTTAAGTGTTTCTGTAGCTAGTTGACTGGTTCTAGAAGTTTGTAAATGTTAGCTAAACAGATATTCATCTTAACTTTTCCATGGAAGGTGTTCTCTTCCCTCTTTAACTCACCAATGAATACATTTCTCAAGGTAGAAATGTTTATGTTTCATGTTTTTTATATGCCCTGCAAGGCTAACCATGGGGCCCAAGGGAGCTTCAGTCTAGGCTGGGTCTCCTAAGCCTATGTACTTGCTGTTACTTGACTTACTTTCTACCCTCCCCGAATAGTTTTATTTCCTTCTTATTAAAAAACATATTTATCTGGGGCGCCTGGGTGGCGCAGTCGGTTAAGCGTCCGACTTCAACCAGGTTACGATCTCGTGGTCCGTGAGTTCGAGCCCCGCGTCAGGCTCTGGGCTGATGGCTCAGAGCCTGGAGCCTGTTTCCGATTCTGTGTCTCCCTCTCTCTCTGCCCCTCCCCCGTTCATGCTCTGTCTCTCTCTATCCCAAAAATAAATAAACGTTGAAAAAAAAAATTAAAAAAAAAACATATTTATCTTAAACATTCAAATGAGACAACTATCAAGAAGATAGTAAGTACCTAGGCTTTCAGTTCCTAGTGATAAGCAGTTATTGGTGAATGTGACTCCAGATATTTTTATGCAATTAAACACATGTAAATGTATCAATTCATATAAAAAATAGGATGATACCATGGCAGTGGTTCAGAATCTGTGGGGTGAGTGAGAGCAGATCATTTGTTTTTAAGTCATTTTTAAAATGAAAATATCAATGGTTTCATCATGCTAACAGTTTGGGATATATCTCTCCAGACCTTTTCCTACACATTTACAATTCTCTTTCTCTCTCTTAAATTGCACACAGACACACACACGTGAGTTTTTGTATAAATGAGATCATACTATACCTATACCCTACAATTTGTTTTTCCCAACAATATTATCTAAGCATCTTTCTATTTCTTTTTTTTAACTTGTTTTATTTTTTATTTTTTTTAATTTACATCCAAATTAGTTAGCATATAGTGCACCAATGATTTCAGGTGCCCCTGAAAGAGGCCTTAGTGCCTCTTACCCATTTAGCCCATCCCCTCTCCCGCCACCCCTCCAGTAACCCTGAGTTTGTTCTCCATATTTATGAGTCTCTTCTGTTTTGTCCTCCTCCCTGTTTTTGTATTATTTCTGTTTCCTTTCCCTTATGTTCATCTGTTTTGTCTCTTAAAGTCCTCATATGAGTGAAGTCCTATGATTTTTGTCTTTCTCTGACTAATTTCACTTAGCATAATACCCTCCAGTTCTATCCACGTAGTTGCAAATGGCAAGATTTCCTTCTTTTTGATTGCCAAGGAGTACTCCATTATACACACACACACACACACACACACACATACATACATACCACATTTTCTTTATCCATTAATCCACCGATGGACATTTGGGCTCTTTCCATACTTTGGCTATTGTTGATAGTGCTGCTATAAACATGGGGTGCATGTGTCCCTTTGAAACAGCACACCTGTATCCCATGTATAAATGCCTGGTGGTGCAATTGCTGGGTCGTAGGGTAGTTCTATTTTTGTTTTTTTGAGGAACCTCCATACTGTTTTCCAGAGTGACTGCACCAGCTTGCATTCCCAAGCATCTTTCCATTTCAGTTCATATAGATCTGCCTCATTCTTTCACATTTGAAAGTTTTGGTCTTATAAAATGCCAGACCTCCTCCAGAAAGGTTGTACTGACTTCTCCCCCACCAAAAGTGCTATTTTTTACCCATGCTTGCCAATATGAAGAATTTTCACATTTAAAAATTTTTCCCTAACTGAAAAGTAAAAAATTATACATCTCTGGGGGTTGAGGTTTTGCATTTTTTCCAATAGCTTTACGGTTGAATACATTTTCAAATGTTTATTAGCCATTTAGCCAATCTTTTAAAAAATGCCATGTTCTTTAACTAATTTTTTTATACTGGAATGTATATATTTTTCTTTTGGCTTGTGAAAACTCTTTTAATATAGCGGTTTATTCTGTTACATAAATTGCTAATATTTTTCTAATTTGTCATGTCTCTTGGAACCTTTCAAAGTTATTTTGACACACACAAGTTTAAATTTTTTTCTTAGGTCAGATCTGTCCGTCTTTCTAGCCTTAAAGTCATGCTTCAGTTTGTTTTCTTAGAACAAGTAAAGTAAGAATTTTTTTTTTTTTTTTTTTGCTGCTACAAAGGTAAACCGTACTCAATGCAAAGATCTTAGAAAATAAGAAGAAAAAATCACCAATAACCTTTCTGTCTAGAAATAATTATTGATAGCCATAATTTTTGTGTGTGACCTTTCTTATAGATGCTCAGGTTCAGAAAATGTTAGAGATGGAAAGACTGTTAGAGTCATCTAATGAGAAATAAATACCGAATTTGAAATTGTAGTGGGTTCAGTGACATCTTTCAGCATGTAAGCTCCATGAGCTGGGGCCTCGGCTGTTCTTCTCCCCAGTTCTGGGGACACACTAGGTTAGTAACAGTTAGTGGTTGGAGGTTAAGCTAAAGATTTGCTAGCCTTGGTCTTGGTGGTCAGGGCAAGGCAGGGCACATGGAGGGGGTTGATAAATGTTGGTGACCAAGTGAGGTAGGTTAATTTTACCACTTGTTCCAGTATTTTATTTTGTAGATAAGTTTTGTGTGGTTTTGTATATTTCAATTCAGACATATGTAGATCTTGTTTATTATGTTTTTTTAAAATTTTTTTTGCAGAGGTAGACAGTGTGGCACAATGTCACATTCAGCTTGCCCAGACTCTAAGAGAAGAGGCCAGGAAGATGGAAGAATTCAGGGAAAAGCAAAAGCTACAACGGAAAAAGGTTGAATTTGCGTATATGTTAAGACGTTGCTTTTCCCGTGGCAGAAAACTCCAGGCTTGTTTTTCATCAAACTCCTTGGCTCACACCCGCCTTCATGCAGCCATGCTCCTCTTTTAACCTATGAGATTATTTATTGGGAAACCATGTGGAGACCCAACTAGATGGTTCTGTCTCTGTACCCATTTGCACCCAGGCCAGTTCTCTTTGAATTCTCCCAGGATTTATGGGTCTGGCCTGTCTTCTTCTTTTCATATCTGCTGCCACTATTCAGACTATGACTGGCAAGAGGAAACCCTGTCTTTGGTAGAGTCTAGGGCATTTAACCTGGCGAACTCCCAGACCACACTCCTCCTCCTTGAGAAGGCAGTAAGGGAAGGGTAAGATGTAGAGAAGACTCACATTCTCCCAGACACCATGTAGTCTAACCACCCTATTTTACAAATTGGGAAACTGAGGCCCTGGGAAATCCAAGTCCTTTTTGTCTTCAAAGCAGATGTGCATAGGCTGTTTTTCATTGATGGAATTTACTCTGTCCAATTACATGGAAGGAGATGGGCGTAACAAGAGTTAATAAAACTGGCGAATGTTTGAAAAGTTACAAGGATCAAGAAAAGAAGTTCAGATATACAGTAGTAAAGTGTTCCTTAGAAGAGACCAGTGACTATTCTGACTCCCTTCTATCTTGTTCCTAAATGACTTATACATTCAGGTTGGCCTGACAGCCAACTAGAGCTCTTCTAGAATTTCTTTTTTTTACATCTGGTCTATAAGGTTGGAACGTCAGCTGCACATGGGGGACCAGCTCTTCTTTATTTGGCACCCAAAGATTTCCACCCAGGTCTCCCCAGACATCTTTGCATGAGCTTTTTGGAAATCCGTTCTCATCCTGGTCCTTGACTATCTGAAGGTCATTGTCTATAGTGTGTGTATCCAAAAAAGGTCCAGCTGTTAAGGCTGATTCTACCCATATGCCATTTTCAGAAACTTTGCCTATGGTTCTAAGCCAGAGTCTAATTCCAGCCTTTGGTGACCAGCTGGCATTTGGAGTGGATGGCGGACTTAAGAGCCCGACTGCCTTACATCTATGGTCATCTCATGAGCTGCTCTTAAAGCTATGCCTCTTCTTAGGAATAAAAGGTGGAAACTAACATTTAAGGAATACCAGATCAGTGGTTTCACACACATTCACACTTCGTATATCAGGTTTGAGAGGTGCATCTGGCCTCAAATATTTTTCAGAGCAGAAATAATATGTACATATACCCACCCATTAGACAATCAAATTGTTTTGACCTGACATTGCCAGCCTTGCCCACCTACCTAGAGAAATAACAATTTTTCAGGGGCAAAATTAACAGAGTCTATATGCATATGTTTTCCAGTAAGAGGAGCAGAAAGTCATTTCCTCATGTTTCCAAGTGCCTTTGGTAGCCTTAGTCATTTCAGGGAGAGTTTTGTTAATTTTGCAAGGCTTCTGAAACTTCCCCTCCTAACAAGTTACAAAGATCAAATTCTCATAACTGGAAGAATGTGTTCTGAATTCTGTTAAGTAATAAAGGAGCCTGTGCTCAGCTCATTGCTGTCATCCAAGTTCTCTATATTCTGTGTGCTCTCTACAGGAAGAAAATGCCTTCTGAGCTTTCTTGAAGAAGTCTGAAATTTACTAATAAATTTCTAGTTACTCGTGTCACAGTGAACTCTGGGTTGTACCACTTCTGTTTTTAGATGCCCCCCCCCCTTTTTTTTAAATCAAACTTTGGGAGAAAATGTGTCTATGCTAACTTCTCATTTTCACTGTATGTTTTGGGCTTCCACTTTCTGGAAATTGAGCCATTTCCACTTATCACGGAAAACCATTGGTTCCTTTTAGCAAACTGGGGAAGGGGAACGGCAGGTAGAATAGCTCAGAAGTTAGTGGTGTACTACTCACTTAACTAGATTTCTGACGGTGGTGAACAATACAGACATGGTCATCCTTCCCTCATGGAGTGTAGAGCATGGCCAGAGAATGATGTGACATAGTCATCATGATAAAGCGTGATGAGCATTAAATACTAGGGGAGATGAAGGTGCCACCTCACCTGCAGTGGGGACTCCTAACCTTATCAGTGAGGTGGGGGAGGCGTGTTGGGGGCAGACCCTGAGGCTACAAGCACCAGATTGAGTGACAGTACAGGTGAGGATGATGAGGGACAGGCTGTCATCCCTGAGGGTTGGCCAGGTTGGGGGGGCTCTTAGGAGCCACTTTCAGGAGTCTTGGCGTTTTAGGGTACTGAGGTTGCTTCCCCGGCCCAGAATGTGCCAGGCTGACAGGGACAGCACACGGTCAGTCACTCTCCTCTGGTGCCTACATTCTGTTCTGCCCTCTCCGCTGACATTGGGATGAGCATGGCAGAATGGTGCTCTGCCTGTGTAGAGAGAAATCTCCAAAGAAAGGAACGTCCTTGGTTACACGGAGTGACGCTTACAGCTTTAATGGCGTGAATGCAGACAGACAGACCACCAAAGCAGCTATTTCAGTCATGTACTGCAGGGCCATTTGAATCATTTACATATCTCTTCTTCCTTTGCCCCTCCCTTCTGCTTCTCCCCACCCTAGAGCAGAGGTGATAGTTCTTGTACTACTTTGTGTTATCAATAATAAGACAATTAGATTTCCATTGGGTTTGGCCTTTGAAGACCTGCCAAGAATAGGCCATTCTATAAGTGAATACAGACATGAGGAGACTTAAATCAAAGTGGGGTAACAGACAGATCTGGACTTGGTGTCACTGAATGGCTTTGAGCAATTATCACCTCTTGGGCCCCCAGGGCTCACAACTGTCAGGTTAGAGCCAGACTACCTCTCTCTCTCTCTCTCTCTCTCTCTCTCTCTCTCTCTAGGGTCCTGTTCTCATACAGGTGCCAGGGATCCTCCAAGGTAGAGAGGAAGATGAAGGGAAAAGGTCTAATAGAACTTTGTAGCCACCTGAGAGGAGCTGGAAGCAGGTGTTATGTGTGAGTTGGACATAAGGAGGCCTGGCAGAGTCCATAAACTATGAAATAGTGGCAGCTCCCAAACTGGGAGAAAGGCAATATATATTTTTGGACTGGCAAAGACCACAGGACAGACCAATAGTGCTGAGTGATCTGCTCCATGGAGTTTGGGGAAATCAGGAACCATTAATAAATAAACCCAGCTCCTCCTCCTGGTAGAGGTACCTAGGCGCTCATGTGAACCACACAGCTTCCTGTCTGTGATGACAAGGGCCTTCCCATGAGACTCTGCATGTGGGGCTCATGTCTGTTCTCTGTGTCTACAGGATCTTCACTGTTAGCAGATGCATGGCCCACCTCTTACTCCTCGATTTTAGCTGGGCTGGAAGATGGCTGTTCAGTTCTCTGAAGGCCCCTTGGGGATCCCCAACAGAATTTCATGTATTCCACAAAGCTTATATTTGAAGTCAGACCATCCCAAACATTCCATCCAGATATCTTGAAAATCCATCCAGCCATGTTTGTGTTGGTAACAGACAAAAATGTAATTCTCCAGAAGAAAGAGAAACCACATTTGAACATTATTTTCAGAGTTATTATTTTGCATTGTGTCATTTTGCACGAGAGCAATGCCATAGCTCATTTTGAATTACTGCACCTCTTGGTTTTTTATATACCCGTTTGATTTTATAGAGCTATCATAAGGATAATGGTAGGTGAGGGTAATGATTAAGAACAAGGGCACAAGAGTCAGGCTGTGCCCAAATCCCAACTCTACTACTTGCTTGGGTAAATTAATCCCCCTCAGTTTACTGTCAAAAAAATGGGGATAAGAGTACTTACAGTTGTTGGGATGCATGAAAACTGATTAGCACATAATAATGCTTGATAAATGGCAACTACTATTATGTCTGAGACATACATTTTTACTATTAGCACCATTATTTTGAGTAATGAAAGGGTTAATATCAGAGCCACGACAAAGAAATTGCTCTCAAGTGAACTCAGCAGAGTAGTTTACCTTTCCTGGATTAGCTGGGATTAGCTGGGAGAATACCTTCTTTTAGTTGTCCTACAAACATTTCTTCTCTTCATACTGCCCCGGCTCCTTGCTGGTTTAGGGTGTGTTATTGGTGGATACAAGAGGAGTGAATATTTATGCGTCCCTAATTTTATTGTGATGACACAGGCTTACAGAATAAAGACCCCTTTTAAAATATGAATGGTGCCTTAACAAAGGTTTTTAAATCTTTTTTGAAACCTAAGTTCCTTGATTCCAGGTTTACGGAAGAGACAGCTCCAAGGATGATCAGTGATTCTCAACAGTCGCTGCCCAAGTTCAAGGGCGGGCCTTACCATTGAGCAGCCGTAAGACCTTGGGCAGGTTGTTCAGCCTCTCTGCTACAGTTTCCTTGTTTGTAAAAAGGGAGTAATAAATAGCACATCTACCTTCTGGGTGTGTGAGGACTAAGTGAGGTAATCCACATTGAACACTTATTCCTCAAGATAAGCTGGCATTAACAGTAATTTGTTTTTTATTAATAGTGCTTGTCCTCTCTTCACAGACAGAGCTTATAATGGATGCTGCCCATAAACAAAGGAGCTTACAGTTCAAGAAAACTATGGATGTGAGTCTCAGTTTATTGCTTTTTTTTTTTTTTTTCCCATGGTGACATTTTCTGAAATCCTGTGCTGTGTAGGAGCATATTCCTGAAAATAGTACTTCAATAATATTATGGACTAATGCAGTGGTTTGGGAAAACAACCTTTAGAAGTTTGACTTTCCTGCTTTTTAAGGCCTTGGAAAGACGGAGGATGAAACAAGATAGAGGAAAGAAAATGATGGTGACTTTCTGGTAACCTGGGAAAGTCTACAAGTCAATTGAAATATCTCAGGCCAAGACACAAAAGTGTCTATATCACATGCCATTTATCTTGTTGGATGTTAGCTTTTCCCCCTGTGACTATTTTGAATCTTGGTTTCTTACCTATTTTACTGAGTGAGCCCTTCATGTTTTAGGATCTACAAACTGTAAGAGCCTTCTGTAAGTAATCTATTTAAACACACACACACACACACACACACACACACACACACACACACACACAACAAGACAGAGCTAAGATAAATTGCGAGGGCCCTCCCTCTAGCTTTCCTAAATCTGTTCACTTTGGACACAGTGAACTCTGTTACTGAAACATCCATGATTCCATATTTGTACAGAAGTATCATCATGATGTTCTATGTGACATGGTGTGTGGTAACCCAGTTAAAAAAGAAAATGTCACCAATGTCGATGACATATGCAGTCTGCTCCGCGTCATTTTTTTTCTGTGATGCATGGCACCTCCAAAGCAACTGAGAAATAGGGAATGATGTCAGTGTAACTGCAGAAATAGCATTGGTCCATACATGGTTGTTCCCAGACTTTCTGTGTTTTGAGCAATCTGGGACAAGGTTTCTCACAATTCAAGATAAAACCCTACTGAAATACAAGTTTCTTAACTATCTCTTCTACCTGCCTGCAGAGCCATGCTAGTATTATAATTTTTGCTTTGGCTATCAAAAATGATTTAGAAAACTCAAGAAAAAGGAAGACTATTGTATTAACTCATTTTTCGCTTGCTGTGTCCTTTTTTCCTCTTGATATTCCAGCGTTTCTTCTTTTATAGTTTCCTTTGCTTAGAGAGTTTAGCCATCTTCAGGATGGTCTACTATTGACAAATACTTTTAGTTTTTCCTCATCTGAGAATATCTTGATTTCCCCTTCAGTGTCAAAGGCTGTTTTCCCTGGTTATAGGTTTTTCCTTGTAGGTAAAGTGTCATTTCTGTTTTAAGATATTTTCTTTCTTTCTTTCTTTCTTTCTTTCTTTCTTTCTTTCTTTTCTTTTCTTTTCTTTCTTTCTTTTTTTTTTTTAGTTTTCAAAGTTCACCTATATATGTAGTGTCATGGATTTCTTTGGGTTTATTTTGTTTGGGGTATGATCAACTTCTTGAATCTGTAGTTTTATATCTTTTGCCAAATTTGGGAAGTTTTCAGCTGTTATTTCTTCAAGTAGTTTTTTTAGCTCACCTTCCTTTCCTTGGATTGCAAGGACATGAATGTGTTAGATCTTTTGTTATGGTCCCAAGGGTTCATGAGGCTCTATATGTTTATTTTGAGGTTTATTTATTTTTCTTGAGAGAGGGAGTGAGAGCATGAGCAGGGCAGGGCAGAGAGAGAGGACAAGAGAGAATATCAAGCAGGCTCCATGTTGTCAGCATGGAGCCCATGCAGGGCTTAATCTCAGGAATTGTGAGACTATGACCTGAGCTGAAATCAAGAGTTGGACACTTAACCCACTGATCCATCCAGGTGCCCCATCTATGCATTTTTTTCAGCCTGTTTTTCTCTCTGTTCTTCAGATTAGGTAATTTCTATTGCTCTGTTTTCCACTTCACTGATTCTTTCTTCTATCTCTTCCATTCTGAAGTCCATCCATTGAGTTTTTAATTTTCATTAGTGTGTTTATTTAGTTCCAAAATTTCCATTTGGTTCTTTATAGCTTTTATGTGTTTGCTGAACTTTTCTAGTTCTTTGCCCAAACCATCTATTTTCTCATTTAAGTGTTTTTGTAATTGCTTGTTGAATTTTTATGACGGCTCCTTTAAAATCTTTGTCAGATAATTCTAACAATCTGTCATCTTGATGTTGGCATCTATTGAAAGCCTTCTGATTCAGTTTCAGATCTTCCTGGTTCTTGGTATGATTAGTGATAGTCATTTGGTTTTGGACATTTTAGGTATTATGTTACAAGACTCTGGATCTTATTTAAACATTCTGTTTCAGCTGGATTACTCTGACACCTCTAGCAGGGGACAGTGAGGTCACCTGCCTCATTACTCCTTTATGGGGGTAAAAATCCAGGTTTCTCCCATTGGCCTCCACTGAAATCACAGGGTTTGTGTGGCTGTGTTACTACAGAGAGGTGGTTAAAGTTCTGATCCTCCACTAGACCTTCTCTGACACCACCCCAGCAGGTAGAGGGGGCACCTTGTGACTGCCAGGCAGGGGTCGTAGAAGTCCAGGTTGCCCACATGGTTTCCACTGACACTATGTGTAGGGCTGTTATCTTCCAGTAAGAATGAAGGTTCCAGTTCCCTATTTGTCCTTCTCTGAAACCATCTTGGCAGGGAAGTTGGGCATCCTGTTATAGCTTGGTGAGAGTGGAAGTCTAGACTCCCTGCTTGTCCTTTGCTGGATGTATGGGGGGCAGGCCACAGTTTTTTTAGGTGGTGCTTGGCTGCAGTAGAATGGTTATTTTCTCAAGGTTTCTCTTCTGGTAGACTGTCCCTTTTCTGGTCTTTTGGCTAGAGAGGGCAGGTTTTTGTTGGGACTTCTTGTTTTTGCTCATTGCCACTTCTTGGTTGCCTGCTTCTTTGCACTCAGTCTGTGACATATGAGGCAAAGAAAAAACCAAGAGAACTTACTTGTGGGTCACCCTTCTCAGACCAGGGTTGCTAGCCAATCTGCCTTCTCTCCACCTTTCAGAGTCTTATGTTTGTTTTATACAGAGTGTCCAGAGTTTTTAATTGTACTTATGTGGAGGAATAGGGAAAATTACATCTTTCCATCTTTTCAAAAGCTTGTATGTATAACCTTTAAAAAAATTATTTAGAACCATAAATGTGATCATATCCCCTCAGTCTTATACTAAGAATCTAAGACTCTATCTTTAGGAAATCATCCCAAAAAAGAAAAGCAAAGGCATGAACTTATTCACTCTTAAAATAATGAAAATTGTAAATTATTTAGTGACTAAAAAATGGAGAAATATTAGTTATATGACCTTTATGAATATGTAGCAACAGAGAAAAAATATTTAATATGCCATATTAAAAAATAAAGTAGGGTAGAGAAAGATTGATAACTGACAGCATTAAAATTTAAGACTACTTTAGAGCAAAAGAAAAAATACCTTATACATGGCTTAAAGAGAGACAACAAATGGGGGAAAATATTTGTAACTTACATAACTGATAGCCAGTTAGTGTTCCTAATATAGACTGAGCTCTTAAAAACCAATGGAAAAAGGGGTGCCTGGGTGGCTCAGTCAGTTGAGCATCCAACTTCAGCGCAGGTCATGATCTCCTGGTTCATGGGTTCGAGCCCTGCATCCGGCTCTGTGTTGACAGCTCAGAGCCTGGAGTCTGCTTCAGATTCTGTGTCTCCCTCTCTCTCTGCCCCTCCCCCACTCACCCTCTGTCTCTCTCTCTCAAAAATAAAATAAACGTTAAAAAAAAAACAATGGAAAAAAACTCAATGAAAATATGGAATGCTCCAATAGGAAAGCAGGTAAAAGACATGAAGTAGAAAGGACATACCACCTTAGTGGTCATGAAATAAATACAAATAACACAACTTTATGCTGACATTTTCTCCTCTAATATTAGAAAAGGTCAGGCATATTGTTCAAGCTTGGTGTTGGTGAAAGTGAGGAAATTTACTCCATATACTGCTGGTGGGAGTACCAGTTGGTGTGGTCATTTTGGAAGGAAGTTGCACATATACATATTCTTTTACCAAACCATTACACTTCTAGGAATTTGACCCGTATAAATAAATTCATACTACCCAAAACAAAATCAGAATATTTTTATGTTATAAAAAATGGGAAACAAGTGTCCACTGATAGAGAGATAGTTAAAATTATGGCGTGTGTGTGTGTGTGTGTGTGTGTGTGTGTGTGTGTTTACAACCTTTAAAATGTTCAGCTACAAGGGTGCCTAGGTGGCTCAATCGGTTAAGCGTCCAACTTCAACTCAGGTTGTGATCTCATAGTTCGTGGGTTCGAGCCTCACATCGGGCTCTGTGCTGACAGCTCAGAGCCTGGAGCCTGCTTCGGATTCTGTGTCTCCCTCTCTTCTCTGTCCCTCCCCTGCTCACTCTCTGTGTCTCTCTCAAAAATAAACATTAAAAAAAAAAATGTTCAGCTACAGGGATCATGCTTGACATAGAAAAATGTCTATCACATACTGTTACAAAAGGAATTTGCTGCATGAATATCTTATGTGCTTACAATTATGAAAAATTATGAAAGTTCTATGTGTGTGTAGCATATATAGAGAATTGTATGGTTGTTTACTGAAAGGTTAACCTCATCTGAATTGCAGAGCATGCCGAGAATTGCACAAACCATCTCTGCAAAGGAGTCTTCATTCTTGGTGAAGCAGTTTTGGGGGGGAACAACATTCTTATTTATTAGCTGACTCACAGCTTTGCTTTGTTTGAGTAAGTTAAGTCTTTGCTTCAGTAGGTGAAACAGAAAATTATTTGATTTGCTAACTATATAGTTGAGAACTGTTTTCATACTAATGGTAGTGATGACAGCACAGGATAGACCAGGGTCTACTTTTAAACTAGTTAAAACAGGGGCACCGAGGTGGCTTGGTTAAGTGTCTGACCTTTGGTTTTGGCTCAGGTCATGATCTCACAGTTCATGAGTTTGAGCCCCACATTGGCTCTGCGCTGCTGGTGTGGAGCCTGCTTCGGATTCTCTCCCTCTCTCTCTCTCTCTCTCTGCTCCTCTCCGACTCCCGTGCATGTTCCCTCTCTCAAAATAAACTTTAAAAATAAAAATAAAAAAATAAACTAGTTCAAACAGATTTTTTTAAATCAAAAAGGAACATGGCTATGCTTGAGTGACAGAATTGATGGGATCCATGCCCTTGTCACCTGCTATGGTGGATGCATTAGAATATTGAGGCATAATTACAATTACTATGGTCAAGTGATGGCATCTAAGTTCTGAGGGTTATGTTACATAAACGTTAGATTACACATCTTTTTTTAAAATTGTTTTTTAGGGGCGCCTGGGTGGCGCAGTCGGTTAAGCGTCCGACTTCAGCCAGGTCACGATCTTGCGGTCCGTGAGTTCGAGCCCCGCGTCAGGCTCTGGGCTGCTGGCTCGGAGCCTGGAGCCTGTTTCCGATTCTGTGTCTCCCTCTCTCTCTGCCCCTCCCCCGTTCATGCTCTGTCTCTCTCTGTCTCAAAAATAAATAAAAACGTTGAAAAAAAAATTTAAAAAAAAAAATAAAATTGTTTTTTAATGTTTATTCATTTTTGAGAGACAGAGAAAACCAGAACGTGAGCGGGGGAGGGGCAGCAAGAGAGGGAGACACAGGATCTGAAGCAGGCTTGAGGCTCTGGAGTGTCAGCACGGGGCTCGAACTCATGGACCATGAGACGATGACCTGAGCTGAAGTCAGCTGCTTAACCGACAGAGCCACCCAGGTCCCCCTAGATTATACACCTTACAGTTATATACATATTTTGATTTTGCCTATTTCAAATCCCATCTTTTGTTCCAGTTTTTAAAGCCCACATACTTTGTGTTTGCCGAATTGGAGTTATTACTTCCTTGATCAGGCTGCCACCACACGCGTAGTTTGGAAAAGGGCTAAAGAGCCCTTCCACAAATAGATAAGAAGGAGCCTTTGCTGCCAGGGTGCCCACCGTCTGGCGGTGATCACGGCACTGACCAGAGCGCCCTGTCCTTTGCTGGGCTTGGCGGGCTCGGGCTGCTGCTTTGCAGGCTCACGTTCCGCTCACCTGTTTTGGTCCTCTTTTGGCACATAACAACAAAGGCAAAGAAGACCTATATGCAGAAATGCCGGGACAAAGACGAAGCAGAGCAGGCTGTCCACCGGAGCGCCAATGTGGTGAACCCGAAGCAGCAAGAAAAGGTACCTGGGAGAGCCGACAGCCTGAAAAATCTGAGCTTTATGTATTTGAAACTAAAGCCAATTACTAATCTTAATGAAAAATGGACGTGCATCCTAAGTCCCTGGCAATATCTTGCTTTTGGGCTGTCAGGATCCTCTGGCCCAGAAAGTCCCTTGTCACAGTTTTGGGGTTCGGGAGGAGCTGGAGAAGCGTGGCCGTGGGGGAAGGGAACAGGGTGATAAGAAGTAGGGGAGAGGGTTTTGGTTTTTTCATCTTTCTTCAAGACTGAAGTATTCTTTGGAGCCAGGCCACCTCAGGCTTGGGCACATTATCAATTTTATGTAATCTGGTAGAAGACTGTCAGCAACCAGAGGGCAGGGGTTATGTCTTTAGGATACCATGGGGCAAGATGTTTGATGGCCGTTTCCCTGTGGTGCTAAGATTAGAGGGCAAGTTGAACGGTTTGCTGAGAGAAACAGGTAAGATGTGGAACACGGGTCTCTTCACAGCCATTGCTTTCAAACCTGTTTTGCCTGTGGGAGCTCTACCCAGCATTCCCCATCTCTTGTTCTTTATGTGTCCTCACAGCTTTTCGTGAAACTGGCAACTTCGAAGACTGCAGTCGAAGACTCAGGTGAGGGGGCTGCTCCCAGGGATGGGGGAGGCTTGTGGGGAGGGGGCTGACATTATGCTGAATCTGTCGGGAAAGGTATTTTTATATATCATACAAGAATGTATGGACAGACAGTGGGATTAACAAGAAAGCAGGAGGGAAGAAGGGAGAAAGGGAGGACAGGGAGGGAGACAAGGTATATCAGAACCTGGGAAAGTGAGACAGCTGTTTCTGGCCACTGCCTGCTTGAGCCGTACTTGTAATTAAATGGTGGTGGGGGGGGGGGGGGGGGGGGGGGGGGCGGAGGTCATGTGACAGCTGCTTTGTAAGCAGGTACTCATTCTGATTTATTAGGAACATCTGTCTTAAAAGCCCATTTCAGCCCTGATAACTCTTATCTGCTATGAAGGAAACAGCCAAGTTGCAAGGCCTTGTCATGGCTGAAACCTGAGATCCAAGCCAGGTGTTTGCAAAGCCTTCTGATCCCAGAGTATTCTGCAGGAGCCAAGCCTCTTGTGACCATGGTCATTTAAGAAGTCTCTAAACCCAAAACCAAAGTCACTTGGTAGTTCTCTGCACCTCTCACTGTCTAATCTTCCTGAAAATGGAAATGGGTGGAAGCTATTGAGGTTGAATTAGCTCAAGAGAACTCTGGCTGAAGTTCCTGTCAGCCTTTGTTCTCCTTCCTTGAAGCATTTCCTTTTTTTTTTCTTCCCCTTGAAACATTTCTTACTTGGCTTGGTTTAATGTCTAAAAAGAAAGTGCTTATTTCACAAATATATTGTGAGAGAGAGAGATGGATATGGCCTCCCACTGTTCAGAGCTCCATGGGGTCTTGTGAGCTCAGTGTGACTCTGGCGAGTGTCGTTTGTCATCCAGGGTGAGCTGGGCAGTGGGTCTGCGCACCCTGCTCCTGCCTGGTTTCTGAACCCAGGCCCTTCCCCTCCACTGCAGACAAGGCATACATGATGCACATCAACACTCTGGACAAAGTCCGTGAAGACTGGCAGATCGAGCACATCAAGGCCTGTGAGGTACCAGAACTGGTGGCTGCTCAGGGGGGGATGATCTTCCTCCAAGAATTTGGGGAGTCTACTTTGCCAGAAATGCACCACTCCCTTATTACAGGGCCCCAATTCTCATAGAATTGCTTGAGGCCAAGTTAGAAATCAGAAATGTAAGTATAGGATGGATGGAACTGGAATGTTTTCCTCCAAGCCTCATCTTTCTGCCCCGTCCCAGTCCTGAGCGTTGTGTCTGACTCTGTTCAAGGACTTCCTCCAACGTTTGGTTAGTGCAAATATGAAATAGCTGAATCAGTTAATAATAATGAATCAGAAATAATTATCTTTCAAGAGCCTTGCCTGAACTTGCTATCCAATAAGGAGAATGCAGATAGAAGGTGAGCTAGAAGTTTTCACTCAGGCACCTGGGTGGCTCAGTCGGTTGAGTGTCTGATTTCAGCTCAGGTCATGAGCTCGAGGTTTGAGAGCCAGGCATTGGGTTCTCTGTTGTCAGTACAGATCCCATTTTGAATCCTTCGCCCCCTCTCCCTACCCCTCCCCTGCTGGCACACCCTCAAAAATAAATAAACATAAAAAAAAAAAAAGAAGTTCTTACTCTCCTTACACCTTTGATTTCACCATTACCTCCTGCTTCATTTTTAGCATGTGACCTCACTTACAATTTCCTGGAGAAAATAAAGACATAACTTGGAAACTTCCTCAAGTTTCTTTTAGCCTGTCTATAGTTTTTCTTACCAGTGGTTCTCAAAGTGAAATCCCGGGACCTGTAGCATCAGTATCATCTGGGAATTTGATAGAGATGCAAATTCTCAGACCAACTCTCGACCTACTGAACAGAAACTGTTGGAATAGGTGCAGTACTGTTTATAAGTCCCCTGGTGCTTCTTAGGCAAATTCAAGCCTGAGAATCACTGATCTACACCCCCCTCCCCTCCTTTTCTCCTGTTAGTTGAAAAGGGGCTGCCCCTGCCTTATCAAGATCCTATCCCGCCATCTGGGCTCAAGATCCCATCATCCAGCGGTCTTTCCCTCATGCCTGTGTAAAGCTCCCTTCAGTGTGAACTTCTTATACCATTGTTTGGACAACTCATCTCATTCTTGGTGTTAGAACCTACTGGTACTGGCTGTTGCTTCCTGTCTGCTGCCCTCTCCTCTCTTCACAGCCAGGCTTCCTGAAGGAGTTGTCTTCACATGCTCATTGCCCCTGCCTGTCCCAGCCTGCTGCATCTGGGGTTTGTCACCCCTGCTGCTGCTCGCTGAGGAACCAGACATCTCTGTGGTGTGAGGTCCAGCAGGCCTTTGCAGTTCCTGATCTTATGTGGCTTGTGTCTACTGTCTAACACTGTGGGTCACTATCCCCTTCCTAAAACACTCTTTTCTGCTTTACTTCTGTGACTCCACACTCTCATGGAAAAACCTAGAATAAGTCCCCCTTTTTAAGGTATAAAAACGTGCAGAGCAGTATCATATGCATTTTATAGACACACAAATATTAGAAAAGCCTGCACAGGAATGATAAAGTTTAGGAGAATGGTTATCTGTGGGGAAGGAAGAAGGGGATCGAGTTTGGAGAAAGCACACAAGGGGCTTAAACAGAATCTGAGGCAAATATGGCCTAACTTGTTGACCAAGCGAGGTGGTCAATAGGTATGTATTCATTATATTGCTCTCTATGATTCTGTCCATGCGAAGTATTCTATAATAAAAATCACATAAAATCTACTGTTTATATGCTACATAAATACAAAATATAATAAACACTACATATATACCAAGTATGCTAAATACTAAAAGGTTTCCAATTAAAATAATGTATTTGCTTCAAAATATCCTACGGAGTAGATGAGTTGGTAAGGATATAATAAAACAGAATTGGTTGTGAATTGATACATGTTCAAGCTGGTGAAGGGTCCATGTGCATTCATTATACTATTTTCTCTGTTCTTATCTATGTTTGAAGTTCTACATGATAAAAAGTTTTAAAATGTAATAGTGTTATATTCAACCTTTAAAAAGTACATTAATATATAACATCCACCGTTGAATAGCATCCCCTTTATTTTTTTATTTTTTTTAATACTTTTTTTTTTTAAACGTTTATTTATTTTTGGGACAGAGAGAGACAGAGCATGAACGGGGGAGGGGCAGAGAGAGAGGGAGACACAGAATCGGAAACAGGCTCCAGGCTCTGAGCCATCAGCCCAGAGCCTGACGCGGGGCTCGAACCCACGGACCGCGAGATCGTGACCTGGCTGAAGTCGGACGCTTAACCGACTGCGCCACCCAGGCGCACCGAATAGCATCCCCTTTATAGAATAATAGCTTGATTTTCCTAAAGTTGATACTTGCTTATGTCCAAGAAGCTATTGTTCAGGAAGTGACTTCTTAAAAAACTTTTTTAGTTAAAGAAACCTTCAAACATAAACAGAGTTGGAGGACAAGTGCAGGTTCCCCCACGTTCTCGTGAACTTCAGTGATTATAATCATCTTGCCAATATTCAGTCATAGGGGAATTTCAATGTGAGGCTCTGGCAAGCTGCCCACGTGGAGATGCCCACCAGGCAGTCGGAAATGTTAGCTGGAATTCAGGTTAGACCCTTGGCATCTGGGCTCTTCATTACCTCTTACCTTCAGAACTATATCCAATCCTGTTTGTGTCAATACCATATTAGAATACTATTTGCATTCTTTGCCTGCGGTAAGAGTTTATGAGTTTCCTTGGTAGCAGGGAATATCCTAAATGGGACAATAAGCTTACAGATAATGAGGGTTGACACTGTTTCTTAAGTCATAGCCAGTCTAGACAAATGTCTCCCTTCTCTGTATATGTACGGACATGTAGTTATGTTTCCGCAGATATTCGAAGCTCAAGAATGTGAACGAATAAACTTCTTTCGGAATGCATTGTGGTTACACATGAATCAGCTGTCACAACAATGTGTCACAAGTGATGAGGTAAGTCAGAAGCATCCATGGAGGATTCATGAGAGTGGGAGGAACCATAGGCATTTATTAGTGCACCCTCCTCATTTGAGGCCCAGAGAGGTATGGTGACTTGCCCGAGGCCGCACAGTGAGCTGATAGAAAGACCCAAATAAACACCTAACTGCCTGACTCCTAATCTGCTTTGCCACCATGACTTTCTCTTTAAGGAATTCACGGGGCAGGAGAGCGGAAAAGGGAGACCCAAATGTAGTTTAGTTTATGGAAGACAGAGATGTCATAGCAAAGGGTCACTCCAGGACACCACCAAGCACTAGGAGACTGACCCATGCCCGGGCTAATGATCATGCCAGGGCTCAAGATTTACTTCAGCGGCATTCCCACAGCCAACATCCGGGTTTAAGTTGTGCACAGCAACCCTCATGGGGTTTCCAGACCTCAAGAGGGATTAGAATCAAATTATCACAACCTTCTTTGCTAAGAAATAGCCACCCTCACTTGGATGGGACATTCACTTTAGGAGAAAAATCAAACACCTAGAAAACCTGTAGAATCGACTAGAAGAGCTTTTTTCCAAGTTAATTCATCTTTGCATTTTGTGTGTGGCTTTGGTCTTGGTATCTATTTTCTTTGTCCCGTCAGTGTTAAAGACAAATCTTTCTGTGAAGGTTTTTATGCAGTCACAGAGATAACATTTCTTGTCATCTTTAAAACAATTTTAATAGCTGATATGCACCAGAGAAATCCCTTTATATGAGTCTGGGACTTAGGAATGTCTCTTTTTCTTTTCAAAACAAAATTTGGAAGAGCCAGCCATTCATCAAACCTGTTTTAATAAGCTGTGTCACAATTATTCACAGACATACCTCTATGCTTGATTTGTCTTCTTTTTGTCAGATGTATGAAGAAGTCCGTAAGAGCTTAGAGGCATGCAGCATTGAGAAGGACATTGAGTACTTTGTGAACCAACAAAAAACTGGACAGACTCCACCAGGTGAATGGAGTGGTGGGGCGGGGCATTTATTTAAGCAATTCTGCTAGTCTTTTGTGCACATGTCATTGAGAATGGGAGACACCAGCATCTTAATATTTTGTTTCTTAATTTCCCTAGCACCCATTGTGTATGAGAATTTCTACTGCCCCCAGAAGAATACAGCCCCACAGGGAAAGGCTCCAGGGCCCAACTTACCAAGGTAATAACCACCTACCTTTCACATGAAGAAAAATACTTAAAACATTTTTTTTAATGTTTATTTATTTTTGAGAGAGAGAGAGAGACACACACACACAGAATGTGAGCAGGGGAAGGGCAGAGAGAGAAGGAGCCACAGAATTCAAAGCAGGCTCCAGGCTCTGAGTTGTCAGCACAGAGCCCGATGTAGGGCTCAAATTCACAAACTGTGACATCATGACCTGAGCCGAAGCTGGACAGTTAACTGACTGAGCCACCCAGGCTCCCCGAAGAAAAATACTTTTAATAAATGTTGTTATCATTAGTGTTCTAAGAGATACTAGAACACATCTACCCCTGCATTTGCTTAAGTGAGGTTGCTAGATTTGGAGCAGTAGCATTTTTTTTTTATTTTATTTTTTATTTTTTTAAAATTTACATCCAAATTAGTTAGCATATACTGAAACAACGATTTCAGGAGTAGAAGTAGCATTTTTAGGACAAATGTTAAGTGGATTTTACCAGTCATAGTTTAAGGAGGACCATATTATGCTTGAGTGTGATTATTATGATTCACGCATGAATCCTATACTTTTCGTAGAGCTTGTAGAAAGCAGAACTCTGGCCCCCTGTGAGTCAACTGACCTACCTGTTTTGGTAGGGCCCAAGAGTAAAGAATGGTTTTTATAACTGGCTGAAAAAAGAAGAAAAGGATACTATTTTGTGACACATGGAAATGATATGAAGTTCATGTGTCAGTGTTCATATAAAGTTTTATTGGGACCTGATCATGCTCATCCACTTACATTTTTTCTGTGGCTACTTTTGCATTAGAGTTGGCAGAGTTGTGACAGAGCTGCCTTAGTGGCCAGCAGAGCCTACGTCATTTACTGTCCCTTTGCAGAAAGAGTTTGCCACCCCTGCTTTATCTGAGAGAAAAGAAACTTCTGTTTCCCGCACAGTCAACTTGAAATCTAGGCTGTTGAATTTCCATTCCAGTTTTTAAAGAGAAGGGAGTATTTGAGGGAGGATTGGATGGTCATCATCAGTGTTTAAGAACACCAGGGTGCCATTCAGAACAGGTAACGTGAATGAGCTCATTTAATCCTCGCAGTGAGGTGGGAATTGCTTGGATTCCCCATCTTACGTGTGGAGATGTTGAGGGACCAGGAGGTCAGGAAACCACATGCTCCACAGTAGAGACTTTCCTCCTGCCTGTTTGGGGTGCTGGGACAGGGCTCTGGGCTTCCTGAGTCCTGTGCATCCTGCTGTCCTGCTCACCAGCATAATAGAATGCCGGCAGCCTAGATTCCGGTACGTCAGTGTTGCCCGGCTTTTGCTTCATCTGAACTTTTCTTGACTCTTCAGAACAGAAACCAGATCTGATTAGCGTGCAGTATGATTGGGGCATGAAGACAAAAATTACAAACTAATGAGAACTTATCTGAAAGACTTTGGTTTTCATCTCTTACAGGAGAGGACCTCTCCCAGTTCCTAAAAGTTTACCAGGTACGATGTCAAGAAAGACCTTTCAAAATACTCATGTCAGGTTCTCTTTAAGGTTGAGTAGCTGGAATGTTGAAATAAAGGGAAAGAAGGGAATAAATAGAAATAAATTCTCAAGAGAACGAGCCTGTATCAGGATCTTGATGTAATACTGTTTGTCAAAGAGTAGACTTTGGTAATTAGGGGTCTACTTTATTGCCTGTCAAAGAGAATTCAGTTCCTGGAGTACCAAAAGAAACTTATTATAAGGCAGTCTTACCTAAGAGATTATTTCAACTTGGACCATAAGAGAAGCAAAGTATAGTTTCCTGTGGATTACACAGAAACGTAACTGATAGAAGTTATGTCTAGAAACACATAACCTAATAGTATATATCTGCATACTGGCCATAACTGGGTCTGTCACTCATGACTTGGTCTCTTTTTAAATCCTATCAGAACTCCTATGATACCTCTAGGACAACCACACATTTTAGCTTTTTTGTTGTTATTGTTGTTAGTTTTATTCCTTGGATAATTATAAGATCCTTGAAGGTGGATAATTGGTTTTCTCCTGTATCACTCATAGCACTTAACACAGTCCTGAGCACATAGGAGGTGCTCAACAAATATCTATTTTTTTGAGTAAAAGAAAGGTGTACTTACCTATGTTCAAGGGAAGAGGGAACTTATGCTGCATATCATGGTTTACTAAAACTTCAGTGACTGAAAAGAAGTTTAGGACCTGAAATTATAATAATATTTTTGAAAAATATAAGGATTTAAGTTATTTTACTTTAAATGTTTATTTATTTTTGAGAATGAGAGAGAGAGTGTGAGTGGGGGAGATGCAGAGAGAGAGAGGGAGACAGAGGATCTGAAGCAGGCTCTGCGCTTAGAGCAGAGAGCCCGATGTAGGTTTCAAACTCATGAACTGGGAGATCATGACCTGAGGCAAAGTTGTATGCTTGACTGAGCCACCTAGGTGTTCCTGTTATTTTATTTTTATAAAACAATTACCACCTGATAATGTGGGACTGATTTTTGTCTATGTCTTAGCTTGAAATCTAAGCTAAACCTTGAAGATGGCTTTACTCTAGGTGCCGCTATCTGCACATGGATGAAAAAGGGCAATGAAATCGTGGTAGTGATTTCCAGAATGTATGCGTGAATCTTCTGTGTGTAGTCTTGACTTTCATGGGTAGGTTTCGTCGCTGGATATGTTTTCTTTTTACAGAAGGGCAGTCAGTAGAATCTTTAAGTGGAATGTCTTGATTTGAAAAGGGCTAAGAATCTTACCACGAAGCAGTATTAGCTTAATGTTGCTCTGTTCTGCCCTTTGCAGATAACCCTGATTATTCTTTGGTTGATAACTACAGTCTGATCTATCAGTAACATCAGTGGTAAGAACCTTTAATTTTCACATAATTTTCAAGTTGCATTTTGACTATTGATTGTGTTTTTGAAGTCTCTGAAGCTTCTTTACGACACCACTGCAGGCAGCAAGGCCTTGCCTCAGGCTGACCCGTGCCGTGGATGCACGTGATCCTGCGGGATGGTCTCTCTGGGTCCCACAATTGCAAGGGGACTGGAGCCCACGCCATACCTACTTAAATGAGGAGATTTTTCCTTCGTTAATTATTCTGCAACTCATTTTCTGCTCTATTTAAGCTCTTTGTGGCTACAAAGCACCCGCACTTATAACACAGCGCACACACAACGCTCACACAATGCCCATGATCCTCACTGTCTAATTTAGCCTTTCGTGTACTCCCCTATCCCCCAAAGGGGAAAAGTCAAGTAAAAAGAAGTCAGTGACAATGAGGCAAACACTGTCACACTCCCCTATCACACAAAGGGCGTTGGAGGGGTCATCTGGTATCAGATCATTACTACTCCAAGCTAGCAAACCCCAGGGATTCCTAGAGCAAAACTATGAGATGGTGCTTGTCTCTGACTCTCAGGTGCTTGCAACGTGCCCCAGGTCCATCTTTGCCTTCACAAATGTGAGTGAATGCCTCTGAGTCCAAAACAGCAATACTAAACGGAACTCTATAAAGTATAAATGTTTTAACCCAAACGGGTGTGTCTTGGGGCATGACAATATCCGTATAGATGAGCAAAGAAAAAGCTTGAAAGGATACATTCCCAAGCAAGTAGTAGTTTTTCTTTTTGTTTACTTATGTTTTCCAGTTTGCCTACAGTGAAACTTTGTTACTTCTTTAATAAAAGACAGTTTTGAAGAGTTGATCCTTTTGCACATTCCTGATGTTCCCAGGGGTGACAGGAGTGGGGACGGATTCAGGAACTGTGCCAGCCTCTCTCCCACCCTTCCTGGTTTGCTGTTACTGCCACTTAGGAAACAAAACAAGTTTTATTTCTTAATGTTTATTTATTTTTGAGAGAGAGAATGATGGGGGAGAGGCAGAGAGCGAGAGGGAGAGTTAGAATCCTAAGCAGGCTCTGTGCTGACAGCGCAGAGCCCAATGTGAGGCTCAAACTCACCAACCATGAGATCATGACCTGAGCCAAAGTCGATGCTTGACCGATTGAGCCATCTAGGTGCCCCCCCAAACGGGTTTTAATGGTGCTCCATGGTGGCTTTCCTTCAGTGCTCTATAACACTGAAAAGTTCTTCAAGTGAGCACATCAAACACTGCTTGTCTTCAGTCCTCCAGAAACACCCACTTTGTGACTTGTAGCCCATTAGCTACATGGGATGGAAGCCATGTTGTTTTGATTGGGTAGAAATGATCAGCCAGTGTGTGTTTATATTTAAACATAAGTCCTTAAATTGCTTAATAAATGTGTTTAATATCTAAGCAACTTTGCTGTGAAAGATAATGGAAATGGAAGACCTAAAATACCTCAGCTGCTAACTGTACATAACTTTCTGACCTGCAAACAAATTGGAGTCTCTACAACTGGTCATCATTTCTTCATTTCATAAGGCTCCCTTTTTCTCATGAAAAGAGGCACGGCCCATATTAGAGGTAGAAAGGGACATGGGGAATCAGTGACTTGGGACTTCAAGGCGAAATCCGCCCTCTGGAACAACACCATGGAGGTGATGGCTGCAGGTAGGCCACTGGCAGCTCCGAGAGTTTGAGTTTTATTTTAACCTCCTCCTTTCCCACCCTCCCTTATTTGCATAAAGCACACATTCTAGTTGCTTAATAGTAACCTTTGACCCAGCAACTCTAGTTCCTCTGAGTTCAAGAACCTGCTGCTTCAGTGCAAGATGCTAATGCCAACACACGTGAGCTCTGTCATTTCACGGGGTTAGTATGTGGAAGCTCAGGGAACAGGACTCAACATACACATGTATCATTGACGGAGTTGAAGAGAATTTTACAGAAGGAAGTCTATCTTAGTTAATAACTTAGCTAAGCAATGTATCATGACATTTAAAGTAGTTTGAGCCTTTGGAAATGAAATAGGAATGTGTAGGAATTTAAATAGGAAGGCGTAGGAATTTGTGGTTTGTTTGGCATTGTTGATGTAGCTGCTATGCTTGTTTTTAATTCTGACATGTTTAGGGACAGATTATAACTTCTGAGCATCAAAAATATAAATATGTGTATTATTTGCATAAAGCAATGCTGTTGTCAACACAGTCCATTTTTTCATCACTTTAAAACACTTATTCCTCACTGTGTGCTCTCTTTGGCCAAGCATACTTATTCTTTCTTTTTTCTTTTTTTCTAAGCATACTTATTCTCATTGAATGATATGGCAAGGGGAGGAGTGAGGAGCTGATGTGAATGGTTCATTCAGATGAAATTTCTTTGTTATTTTCTTTCAGAAAACAAACCTTTTTCGGGCCGGTGCTTCTACAGCGTGGGAGGAGGCACTCAGAACAGCAGAATCCTTAGCCAAACTGTGTCAGTCGTGAAACTTCCAAGTGAAACCTTGCTGTAATTTTTTTTGTATTTTAAATTCATTGTAGATATTTAGATCAACTTAGGCTAGTTAAGTTCTGAAATTCTTAGAAGAAGTTTACAAATTGCCCCAGACTGAAGAATCATTCTTTCCTAGGCAGTTACTAACGTTGTGAGTGAATTGTGTTAGCTCCTAGGTCTCTGGATTTGGAGCCCTGACTCTTGTTGTGGGGGGGCAGAGGTGGCTGCAGAGGGGTATGAGCCATGAACCTGGAGGGGCTTCTTTGGCTCCGGGGACAGCTTGGCTGTAGAATGTTCACAGCAGCACGTGCCCTCGGTGGTGCACCATTTCAAATCACCTTCCTTTTTGGCTGGAAGACTTGGAGGCCATCTAATTATACTTTCCCATTTTACAGATGAGGAAATGGGGCCCAGAAGTGTGAAATCAATTTCCTTATGGATTAGGGACAGAATCCAAACTGGAGTGTAAGCTCACCTCACATTACCATTCTGACTGATCCTTCCTCAGGCCATTGGTGCTTGTGTTGAAATTTCAGACGCCGAATGTTTTTTGCCGGCGTCTTTCCAGTTGGGAAAATAACCAGGGTTTAAATGTCAGATTTATTTTTATGGGAGTCCCTGTGTGTCCTGAACTTCTAGAGCACCATATTTAATTTAATCTAAGAAGCCACTGATTATAAAGCATGGCCATTATTTTACACACCACTGAGCAAGTTAGGTGAGGGAGTTGACATTCTCAGTGGGGGCAGAATTACTCATAAAGGGGTGAAAATTGGGACAGTTAAGGGTTAAGCCCATTTAAATTTGACTTGCTAAACTGGGGCGGGGAGAAGTACATCCTAGAGTCAGTGCAATAGGGTATTTGGACCTCAATTCCTAAAGAGAATTCGAGAGCTCCAAAGCCAGTCCTCAGTCCTGGGTCTTCACAGAGAATCTTTGCCTTGCTAGCTCCTAGAACTTTTTAAAACGTCAGTCTTACCCTTTCGCAGGTATTTGAGTCTTTCTTCTTGTTACCCACAAACAGCAGGGAGACAATGTCCCTTTTGTGTAATATCCACACGCCATGAGAAAATGGTACATTTTAGTTAATGACAAATTAAACTAGCACTGGTACTTATTCAGTATGTTGCTGGCCTTGTAACACATATTTTCTTCTCCTGCTCTATGCAGTAGCTTTCTCAGAACTGTGCACAAATTGATTGAAACAAGATTGATTATTTCCCACCCTTTAAGGTGTTACTGAAAGTGGCAGCTTCTCCTCATGACAGGAAGCTTGCATCAATTGGATATCCTTTTGAGAAACTGAAGTTTGCAAAGGGCCATTGACTTCCCCAAACTGAGCAGGCTCAGGACATTTCCTTTAAGCTCAGAACATTCTAATTTTTAGGTATTTTATTTATTGTTCACAATTCCTCAGGGATTTCACTTTTCTCTCTTTTGGTCAGTGCAATCGCTGTAAACGTGTTTTATGAATTGAAAATACTTTTATTTTATTGCTCTTTCAGTTCGATATGAAGTAAAATAAAGGTTCCTTGGAGATTTAGGATTTATTTTGCCTTTTTGTGTTGACCACGTCCTCTCTTCCAAGCTGTTGGACCCTCGTCACATTTGCTATTGTCCGATGGCAGTGGAGCAAACTGTTAGGAGGGGAACTGCCACATCACTTCCTACTGGTCCTTCATGACAAAGTCACTTGCCTGGGGAAGCATCACTCCCGCCTCCAGACTAGCTTGGATCCCCTGCTGGGTCCTTCTCCTCTCCCTTTTTTTCCTTGATAGTACGTGGTTCACTCTTGAAATTAATTGTTCAGAGGCTGTCTTCTCTCCTAGACGGTGACCTCAATGACTGCTATATCCCCAGCACCTGACACGTTGTAGTGAGTATGAAAGAATGAGTGGCTAGAAAGAGAGCATACCTCGAGAAACAACCAGTTGGGAGTGTAGAGGGAGCGAAGCCAGTCAAATAAGTATACATGTTAAATTTAGTAAATATGATCTACCCCTAAGACTGGAGGCTTCTTCATTTGAATTCCACCAGAAGCAGCCCCTGAGATAAGGCTTTGAGTGCAGGTACTTTTTCTGGGGGGGGGATCCCAGAAAGCACCAGTATGGGAGTGGGGAGGTAAAGGGGGTGGAAGGAGGGAAGGGAGGAAGGCAAAAGAAACATGTATTATCAAGACAGCACTGCAGGCACCGGAGCTGTAGTCTGGCGGGGACTTGTACGAAACTGTGGCACACGCACCTCACAGATGGCTCACCAGTTAGGATGTTGCTGTGATATTCATTCCCCGGCTCCCTTCAGTCACTGGTTGAGGGCCACCCCCAGGAGGCATTAAACCCCTGGCATTTCTGGCCTGCTGGAAAGGCGGAAATGCCAGCAGAGTGGGATCCCGAATGCTGAGAGAGTCCTTGGGAGAGGCAGTTCCTGGCAGTTGCCAGTGGGCTGACGTTTAAGGAAATGGTAAGTACTGAAGGGAGGTGGATGGTGCCCTGACGGGGTCT